TGTGTGTGTGTGTGTGTGTGTGTGTGTGTGTGTGTGTGTGTGTGTGTTTTCCCACGGAAATTCTTAACATACACACTGGATCATTAATTGAATAAATACGTTATTAAGGGAGCTTTTCTGTTTTACTCCAGAAACTTCACTCACTTTTTGTGCCCTCATCACTAAACTATCATTTTGGCAGGCATACAGGCAAGGTGCAAGAAGCAAGAAAAGTAATTACTTTATAATCTGTCAGGTACTTCACAAGAATTAAATATTGATAATTTTATTTAATGTTTACAGCTATCATATATTAAAGGTTTAAAAATGGAAGCTCAGTAAGGTCAATTAAGTTGTCGAAGATCACATAGCTTTTAAGTGTTAGAGCCTGGATTGGATCCTAGGTCTTTTCCACTCTAATATATCTATTTTTTAATTCTGCCATATAGCCTCTATTAGCCCAATGGGGCATTATTACTAGTATCTACTAATTATAGACACTGATGAGTCTGCAGTTTGATTTTCCTCTAGTTGCAAGCTAATAAGCTTACCTGTTACTGTTTAATGGCTGCTTGCAGAGGACACAGAACTCCTGGGTCAGTGACAAATGTGTTACACCTTATCAAGCAACTTGGGCATTAATAGATAAACATTGGTTGCTGTATTAGTTTTCTTTTACTGATGTAACAAATTACCACACATTTAGCAGCTTAAAACAACACTCATTTATTATCTCTAGTTCTGTAGATCAGAAGTCCAGAAGATTTGGCTGACAGTCTGTTTAAGGTCTTATAAGATCAAAATCAAGGTGTCAGTGGGCCTGGGGTCTTTTCTGCAAGCTCCAGGAAAGAATATACTTTTGGCGCATTCAAAATTTTGTTGGCAGAATTAAATTCAAATAATGTGGTTGTCAGACTGAGGACCTTGATTCTTTGCTGGTTGTTGGCCAGGGCTTATTTTCAGTTTCTTGAGGTCATTTGTGGGTCCCACAGGCTTGTGGAACCTTCCATTTTCAAGATCAATGGCACATCAAGTATTTTTTCTCTGAATCTCTTTGACTTCCTCTTCTCTCGTACTTCCCTGACTTTCTCTTTTGCCTGTGTTTATAAGGCCCAGTATGAATATGTTGTGCTTAAACTGATAGTCCACTATAATGTCTCTATTTTAAGGTCAACTATTTGGTAACCTTAATTACATCTGCAAAGGCCTTGTGTTGGGTAAGGCAGTGTATTCACAAGCATGGTATCTCAGCATACTCACTCTCTCAGGGATTAGGTATGGAATCTTCTTGGAGTTATAATGCTGCCTTCCAAAGTTTTTATTTGTAGGTCCCATGGATAAAGTATGAATTCTCACATGCAGCAGTTTGGCGTCTGAGTAGAGAAATTCCAACCTTGGGGAATCTACTAGTTTTATAGCAAGCCGTAAGAAAGCCTGCTCTTTGTTTAGTAGAAAGACACTATTTATCTCTGAAGGTTACCAACTACATACACAAAATCCTTAAGAATTACTAGTGTAAAGAGAAGTGAGGGCCTCACCTTCTTGACACAGTTAATAAAATTCGTAGGAAGCAAGAGACTCATAAAAGACCGACCGCTCTCCTAACAGACTCCCGAAGTTCTCGAAAAACCCGAAATGACAATTTAACTTTTAATCTCTGAATGCACAGGTTATTCTTAACCAAGTAAAATTATTTCTTCCAGTTCAGGCTTTCAGTTACCTTGAAAAGTACATTCCCAGAATTTCTATAAAGTGTGAGTACGGGGGGCAAAAATGAAGCTGACTGTCAAATTCTATGTACTATTGGTGGATGCGCCATGGTCTGTACCATTTAGATGAGAGATAGCGACAGACAAGAATCAAGCCAACCTACGAAGAAGCTCAGGATGGCAGATTAAAGAGATATAATGGAAATGCCCTTGATAAATTATCATAGGAATTGAAGTTTACACCTTATCTCTATTGACATGTGACTTTAGACCAATCACTTAATTTCTCTGAGCCTTTGTTTTCATGTCTATTGAAAACCTAGGTAATAATGTCCTAGAACCCTTGGGATGTCACATTTCTAGCCAGAAGCCTCTGTGACCAGTGCTACCTTTGCCCAAGTTTTACTTTGGCCTGCTGGGTTCATTCTACCCACAAAGCTTGTCAGGCTTCACTCAGCTCATGCTATTGGCCTGGATTCCATGACTGCCAAGGTCAAGCCAAGTGCAGAGAGGCAAGGGGTGTGTGACCAAGTGAGTGTGGGGCCTATGCTTTGTACCACACTGGCTGCTGTGGTGGGGTGGGCAGCTACAGGTGTGAGCACAGGCACCAGCTCCATAAAAGTCTTCAGCTGGATCAGGTGCATTGCAGGTGGCTTCTGCTGTGAGCACCTACATCCAGGAAGAATGAGGCATGTGGACAAGTTGAGGGTGATCAAGGCAAAGAGGTGCTTGACTGAGTGACAGAACAGCTCTCAGGAGACCCAAAGTGGGTAGCTTCTATCTGCAGGCAGGTCCTTCCAACATCTCTGCAGCCCTTAGCAGAGAGGAGACCCAGAGTGGATAGCTCCTGTTCACAGGCAGATCATCTTGATGTCTCTGTGAGTCTGGCTGAGTCTGGGGTTTTTATGAACTTCAGAAGTTCATAAAAACTTGCTGCTTGGTCCATGTCTGGCCATCAGTGGGCCTGGAAGAAGCACCATAAGTTCTCAGTCTGGGCCAGGAACTCCACCCAGAACTGACAGCCTGGTCCCCATGCTTCAGGCTGTCCCTGGCTTAAAGGTGGGGCTTCACCCGGGAGTCACCTCTTTCCACCCTTGAGCCTGTCTGCCTCCTGCTGCCATCAACCTGCCATCCACAGCTCCCAGGCTGTTCATGCCAAAGGATGCTTGCAGGCCTGTGCCAAGCTGCCCTCAACCCCCTCGGCCTCCCTCCTGTGCTCGTTGGTGCCCAAAGACCAGAGAGGGCTGAGGCAGCAGAGGGCTGGTGTGTTAGTGCTGCCCCAAGAGTGTGCACACCCTACTGGGTCATAACAGTGCCCAGGCTCCTTCTCAGCTTTGTTCGAAAAACAGAGTAGGCACCAGGAGTGGGTAGAGGCCAGGCAGCAGGAGCAGACAATTTCAAGTCTGCAGGGGCAGAGTGGGTTCCCAGGACCCTGAGAGTGCAGGGATGCCCAGGTTACAGCTGTGGCTGGGTGGCTGCAACTGCACTGGGGAGGGTAGGGCTCACGCCCTGACAACTTGGAAAAAGACAGGGCTCTCACCTGCTCCTGGCCCCTGCCAGCTCTGTGGAGCATGTGGTCCCTGCTGCACCTCCCCTGCTGCAGCCAGAGTCTTCACAGTGGCCATTCCAGATGGACCATCACTGCCATCAATAATATCTGTCTTATAGATTTATTGTGAGAAGTAAAAAAGATAATTCCTATAAAGCTAGTAGCATTATATTTGCTATACAGTACACATCCTACACGTTTCTCCACCATTCCCCCTTCCACTTAACTTAAAATATATACAAATAAAAAGTAACATGGCATGAACCTACCTTTATATGATAGAACATTACAGCTTCTGTCCCATACCCCAAAATGTCCCCTGAATAGTAATAGGTACCATTATTAAATACCACCACTGTGCAATAGACTTCATCTGAAAATCAGCTTCAAATTTAGCTTAACTCTGTACATCATAAATGCAGGATCCCAAATAACAATTATGTTTACATAAGTGTGTGGCTCTCCTAACTAAAAACATTTTACTTCTGTTTACTCCTGGGTTTAGAGAGATTTTAGAAGATAAACTTTGAGTATTATATTATCAATGTTTAATTCATGTAGAAGTATCTATTAAGAGTATAATAAAAAGAAGCCCCAAACTTTGGAAAATGTGAGCCATTCTCTAAGATAAATATTCACCTGCAAGAGACCTTGGGAAAATTATGCTGGTTCTACTGTGCTGGGACAGTTTCCCAGACCACTTAGGGCATAAGGCCCTGAGGACCACCTACCCGAGTGTATTATTTTCCTTGATATCACAAACGCTTCAGTACAATTTTGTGGTGTTATTGCTTGGCTCCGTAATCATTATTGTGGTTAGATTTTTTAAAAAGCTCATTTTCATGCTTTCCAGCCCAGGCTCCGCTTTGCAGTGGAAAATACATTCATAAAAATATGTTGTTGCTTGTGAGTAACTTGCATTTTGGGCTTGTCCCCAGACCACCTGGAACACCTTCATGGGTTACAGTGATCCAAAAGCTACATCGTGAAAGATGGCAGTATGCTTCATTATATTACTACTG